TAACCACTTGACGGCAACATTCGGTCTAGAGAATTTTAAACATATCTTTTAGACAAGCGAAGCCTCATCACATGCTTCATCAATAGTAGTAAAGTATAAACTGGTCCACGTGCATCAACTGAAAAGAAACACTGTGCTCATGCATAATAAAAAGATAATGATGGTGACTGAGACATGTTACAAATTAATGAAGCTATAATCATGAGCCACTTCACTCTATTCATATCTTCATGATCCGTTTCCCTAATATTCATTTTGAAAATTATCTGCTTGTCTCCTCCTCGGTCCTTCAAGCTTATTTTCAAAGAGACTTGACCCATCAGTACACGGGTTCGATAGGGACTGCGACATTTAACGCTCCTGCTGTGACCCCCTTTTTGCAAGATGATGATGAAAGTGGAGTAATTGTTGGGATGCTACGAAGAAAGCAGGGAAGCCCCGGAGAAAAACTCTGTGATGCCTGGACCACGGGCTTGTCCAACACAAGTTGTAAATCTGAGCACCGCCGGGAATCGAACCCGGGACCCCAGTATTACAAGGCCAGCGTTCTAACCGCTAGACCACTGTGGCGGTTATTAAGACAATTGTCAACATACACAAAACTGCTTTCCCATACAGACCACTGACATCATAAATTTGTGGTGGTGGATTTGCTGATATGAAGAAACGGATACATGTAGTTTACCAGTACAATTTATTGCACAGACACTGTTCTGTTAATACAAAATTAATTTCTCAAAATGTTTGTACCTTCGGGAGTTTCCCTTGTAATCAAATGTTAATTTCTGTCGTAAGTTCTATACCGAATAGAGTCCGACACATTTAGAGGAAAGAACTCTCATCTGTTGATTGTGGTTTTGTGGGTCATGATAATGCACGGACCTGCAAGTGGTTTTTCCTACATCACAGCCAGAAACAGAAAATTTTACTTTTAAGTGTAGTCTTCTCTAAATATCTGCTAAGCCATAGGTGACAATTCCTTCATAAAGTTCCTAATTATGTGACATCCCCCCTTAATCTGAAGAATATATCAATTTTCAGCAATAATTTTATCAGTTATTACCACGACATAGACTACCGAACACAGTAAATTATGCCGACAGAATAAATGACGAGAAAAATCGAAAGCGTACTAATCTGTAATCAAACTACGCATATTCACTGAAGATCTTCATTTGTATATATTAAGTTCCATCGCATCAAGACAAGGTTTCCCTAACATTAATCCTTTACTTACTATAATTCCTTGCGTTTATAGATTTAACAGTTAAATAATTGAAGAGAAAAATATTTACCACCATATAATGCCAATGAAATATTTATACAGATAATTAAATGATAATGATATCTTTCCCCAGGGTAAAATTAATTAAAAATTGTTATGCCGATAGCACGGTTAATCCATCGCAGATAAACAGTTTGGCTGAAGCATGTCCCCATGCAGTGTGGATATTGTAATAAAATCCATGCGCTTGGTTATGTGTTTACTCATAGCACTAACAGAGAAGAAAATTTCACAACACTTACCCGATGAAACTGGTAGATCCAGTGACAGAACCAAAAAATAATAAATGTGTTAGTTGGCAATAATTATAACTCAGATTTATTACATTTTTAATACAGACTTTTTTTTACTTAAAATCACTGTCATATCACTGAAACAGGAAACAACTATACGATGTGAAGCTTTCACGGCTGCTTTCATTAATAAAGTCTTCTCGGGCTATCAGCCGTGTTAGTTGGTGATCAATCGCCGACGTTTTGAGGACCACCTCTGTCCTCGAAACATTGGCAATTGATCACCAACTAAAACGGCTGATAGCCTGAGAAGACTTTATTAAGGAAACAACTATCGTCACAAATGGATTGTCAATAATTTTATTTCCATCTGGGTCTCTAAACAGCACTTGCATTTTTTCATGTCATATTATTTTTTTCAATCTGAATAACTGCGATGCTGATAGAGAACCAACAAAGATATTTATGCATTTAATTGTTGTAAACCTAAGAAACAAGCTTTTCAAACTTCACAAAATCTAAGTTCCTGAACAAATCTTGTGAATAAGTTAAAGTTGAAAATGATACATAATTTCCTCACAAGCAGAACGTCAAAAGGTTTGCTTTTAACGACATGGCTGATTCCTGTTCAGCGGCTGACAAGTGACAACTTCTGGTTTTTAAATTCCAATTATGATTTAGATTTCAGCTTAAAAGGAGTTTAATTTTAAATCATGTTTTATATCATTATGAGAGTAGTAACATTATTTTATATTAAAGTATATTAGAAGTAACTCAGTTTTAAATGTGATGTTTTTATAACATGCAACAAGATGTCTCATTCCCTGAAAAATAAATTTACATCATCCTTCTGTGAGATAAACTGTCTAAGGGATGGTAAGTTTTTGCGAACACTGATACATCTCGTGTATTTTAGGGGCTTGTCCCGTAACACAACTATTTTCATGGATTTGTCACATATTAAGTGAGAAACCCAAAGTATTCTGGTATTACAACCTGATAACCTAACACATCTAACACTAAATCCTGCTTTTGGATCAAATCTTAAACCTGTATCTCCCAGTACCATTTTCTCATCTTCATCTCAGTCTGTCACATGTAAAATTCCAACACATCTCTCAAACTTCTATGCTTCTTGTTTCCTGAAGATTTCTGTCTTCTGGGTTGTTGCGCTGTGTAGTCTGGTCGATGGTTACCAACGTTTCAGAGGTCATACTGCCTCCGTCATCGCC